CATTGTTTTACATTTACTACAGTCAATTTAGGGTTTTCCTTGCATCATGCTTATTTTCATATTTACAATGGAAGCCTTTGAAGAAAAAGCTCTGGCTCAGCCAGTCCTAATTTATTCCCATTTTTAACAGCTCCCATTACAGCGCTGGGAGAGCTCCTAACTCTTACAGTCCTGCCAGGGCAGGGTGGGGTGAGCACACATGTGTCCTTAATCAACTCAAATACGAATAATAAGTATTGTGGTGGAATTTTTAATCACCCTTTTTTAATTAAAAAGATTAAATATATTTGATCCGGATGCTGCAAGTCTAGGATACTGTGACTATATCAAAGATGAAGGGTATTTTCTGGTTTTATTTTTCTCTTGCCCATGGAGCTCAGAAGCCATACTTCTTTTTCTCCCCTAACCCTGAATGTTCTTTCTCTGCATCACTCCCACGCTTTGTTGAAGGAGCTCAGGAGGGAGTAGGAGGCTCTTAGAATGCAAACTTGACAGACTGGTCTCTAATTAGGCAGGAGGTAGGCAAGGAGGGAGGTACATCGGGAGATGGTGGATAGATCGAGGAAAGAGAGAGAGAGCGAGTATAGGTACGACTCCGTGTGTTCAAACAGTGTATGTTTTCCTGATTGTCATATTGCTTTATGAAAACTAAAAGATCAGGCTGTATTACTGAAAAATTTCCACCCAAGCTCTAGTTTCGTCTTCCTCCTCACAGTAAGGATAGACCCAAACCTAGGGGCCATTGTTTCTCTGTGGAAACCATAAACATAATCTGTTGTATTTTTTCGCTAAGCCCTGTACTACACTTGCTCCGGTTCCTGTATCTCTTGCGGAGCTGGAATGAACAAGCACCAGAGTGATTTGTGTACCGAGGACGTTGTCGTGAGAGAGAGCATCACGGACGGACCTTTGCTCTTTCTTCGGTGGCTTTGGTGTAAGGGAGGCGCTGCCCGCGTACACGTGCTGTGAAATCCATGATGCTTCATTATCTCAGTCAGCTCTCCCTTCTCCGTAACTGCTGTCATTTTCAGAGTAGCTCATGTAAATAAGCTGCTCCTGCTTTGCATAAGCATGTTGATTTATATGGATGCTATTTTGATCTCAAATTGATTGAAGACTAAAAAGAAAAGCCTAAGAAAGATAATAATGTATGTGAAGGTCTCCTATCAAAGACAAAGACACAAGACCCTACGCACGCATTCGTCTCAGGCTGTCACGGGGGCTGGCGATTGCTCGGTTTGTTGGCGGCGGCGGTGGTGCTTTGTTTTGTTTTGTTTTTTACGAGAGCATAGACAGTGAAAGACTAGCAATACGTATTGGGGCTAGCAGGTTTCGGATACTATGGATGGAATCACATTTTGGAAACAGGACTTCTCCAAGTGCAAGGGCACACAACGCAGCAAGGGATGAAGTCGAGTCCTGCTTCCCCACACCAGCATTAAAAAGTTTTCATGGGATGTATCTTCCTCCCTCCGAGTCAAAAGTCTCAGACCAGACACCGAGACTGGCTGGGACAGAGTGCGGAGCCGCAGGCCCGTCCGTGTCAGCCGGGAAACCTGACCTCTAAACCTGACCTCTTCATCCATACCTCCAATACCAGTCCTCCCGGTTTGGTTTGGTTTCTTATTGGGGGCTCTTATAGCTCTTATCACAATCCATACATATATCCATTGTGTCCAACACATCTGTAAATATGTTGTCATCATCTTTTTCAAAACATTTTCTTTCCACTTGAGCCCCTGGCATCAGCTCCTCATTTTCCCCCTCCCCCCCCCCATGTCCCCTTGATAATTTATAAATTTCTCTTTTTTTTTATATCTTACACCAACCGCTGTCTCATTTCACCCACTTATCTGCTGTCTGTTCCCTGGGAGGGGGGCCTATACATAGATTATTGTGATTGGTTCCCCCTTATTCCCCTACTCTACCCTTACCCTCTTAGTATTGCTGCTCCTCTTACTGGTCCTGAGAGGTTTACCTGCTCTGGATTCCCTGTGTTGTGAGCTCTTATCTGTACCAGTATACATGTTCTGGTCTAGCCGGATTTGTAAAATAGAATTGGGGTCATGGTAGTGGGGGGCAGGGGGTGAGGAAGCATTAAAGAACTAGAGGAAGGTTGTGTGTTTTGTTGATGCTATACTGCACCCTGACTGGCTCTTCTCTTCCTTGTGGCCAATTGGACATGGGGGCTTTGGGTCTCCACTCTGCCCTCCACCTCATTCCCATTGATATGTTTTCTGTTTGTTTCTTTGATTTGGTTTGGTTTGGGTCTTTATACCTGATACCTGATCCCATCGACACCTCTTGATCACACAGGTTGGTGTGCTTCTTCCATGTGGGCTTTGTTGCTTCTCAGCTAGATGGCTGCTTTTTTACCTTCAAGCCTTTAAGACCCCAGATATTATATCTTTTGATAGCTGGGCACCATCACCTTTCTTCACCACATTTGCTATGCACACCCACTTTGTCTTCAGCGTTCATGTTGGGAAGGTGAGCATCATGGTGTGCCAGTTTAATAGAACAAAGTGTTCTTGCATTGAGGGAGTACTTGAGTGGAGGCCCAATGTCCATCTGCTACCTTAATACTAAACCTATAAGTACATGCACATAGATCTATTTCCCTATCATCATATAAAAATATACTTACATATATTTATGCCTTTATTTAGACCTCGATAAATGCCCTTTGCCTCCTAGTTCTTTCCTCTATTTCCTTGTACTTTCTTCTTGTCCCACTATCATATTCAGCCTTCATTTGGGTTTCAGTAATTCCTCTCAGTTATATTGCCTTTGATCAAGCCCTACCAGGCCTCCTACACCCTCCTCACCATCGATTTTTGGATCTCTTGGTGTCCCGTTGTCCCTGGGTTTGTTAACACCAGCTTCCTTTCCCCCATCTACCCCTCTCCCATGTCCCACCTGTCGGTCCTGCTGTTTTCTTCTCCAGATTGTTTATCCCTCCTATCTTATCTAGATAGACGTGCAGAGATAATAATATGCACAAAAACAAGACAGAGCAAAACAAAGCAACAACAAAAAAGCCTGTATATAGTTCAAGGTCTGTTTGTTGATGTTTAGGGGTGTTATCTGGTAGAGTCTGATGGGGTGCCACGCCCTGGCCCCAAAGTCTATTTTTGGTATTTCCTGGGGACTTCGTTGCTCTGTTCCCCTTGCTATTCTGTTGCACACCTTAGTGTTTTGTCTCAGTGTGGTAGGGTCAGATTGGTGGCAATTCCTACACTGTCTCCAGTGTTGTTCCCTATAGCTCTATGGGTCAGAGGGACATCGTGTCTCTTGTAAATCTTTATGGGCGCAAACAGTCTCATTTTTTCCAGAAGTGTATCTGGTAGTTTTTGAACCATCAACCTTGAGATTTGTAGTCCAATGATTACCCAACACTGCCACCAGCTCTTCTTCAACTGTAAAAGGTGATGGGCTGAGACGGAGTGGGTGGGGCAGGGGAAAAAACTAATAATACATTCCTCCCCTTCCTTATAAGGTTGGGTTATGAGAACCAAGTAAGCTAACATATGTTAAAGAGCTTTATAAACTGTAGAGTTTATACAAATGTGAGCAATTTTTATGCAAATGAATGAGAAATGTATCTAATCTCTTTTAAAAAGTAGGTTCTGCTTTGAAAGTAGGTTAGTTGTCTCTTTTAAAAATAGGCCTCCTGGCAATCCTATCAGCACGGGGCTGGCGATTTGCATTTGACAGCAGTCTGAGGGCAATTCAACATCAGAATTTTCACTTTTCCAAAGGAATTCACCAACAAAGTGTATGAAAACACTGATAGGTGGTGGCCTAACTACTACCGACTTCTCTAATGTTCCTGCTTTTGAAGGTATCACTTATGCAAAAGCAAAACAGACCAACCCAAGACTAAACTCTCCCTGCAAAATATTCCCCCAACAACTTCCCCACCTAAATATCTCCTATTTTGAATGCTCAGCCTGACTCTCTAACCCTCTGCCTCTGGAACATGTGAACTAAAGAATCAAAGAAGATGTTCAGTCTTGTCTTTGAAAGCTCTGTGCAAATTTTAAATGGAAGATGTAGAAGACTCTGAATGAGAAAAGTAATTCCTGAAGTTAGAGCACATGAAAACTTACTAATGAATACTCCCAGTCTTGAACATTCAGATCCAACTCTGATTCCCATAGAGTTGCTGGCCACGCATAATGATCCTAGGGGACCCCATGGGTTTTCTAAGGCTGTAATATTTATGGAAGGGGACTACCTCATCTTTCTCCCCAGAACAGCTGATGGGTTCGAGCCTCTAACATTTCAGTTTGCAGCTGAGCACTTAACCACTGCACCACTAGGGTGCCCTAAGTATGTTGACAGTCTTCTTAAGTTTCCATTTAGATCTATCATTGTGATTGATCACTGAGTGGCTGACTATTATTGGGCCTACTTTAACCCTATACTCTCACACATCCATCTACTCAGTCTATTGTATCTGACGTTGGACAAATTACTTACTCATGCAAATGATGACCTGAAGCAACCTTTTAGGGTATTCGTGTTTAATTATACAAATGGTGCTTGATAAATAAGATTATGCAGCCTTCCATATGTTTATTCCCTCCTTGATGAAAGGAAAATTTAATTTCCATGCAGATTTGGTTGGGACGGTGTTTAATAATTGCTGAGTTTTATGTAGTCTGCAGATCCATCCATTTGGAGAAGCTGACAAGAGCACACCACTTCCCTCCCAGACAGGAGCATCTTCTTAATTCGGCTACCCAAGCCTACTGAAGTCTGGAATGGGGCCTCTTCGACTGTCTCCTTTGTATTTATAATGGTCCAAGGCCATTATACCACCACCCACCCCAAAAGCGGAAGAGCCTGCTCGTCTTTGTGCTTACAAAGCTGCAAGGTCAAAGTGTATCTCTGTCTGTTTGGTTTAGTTGCTTTTCACTGCCAACCTCTTCTTGTGTTGTTTATTCTGATGGTGTCTTGCTTTTCACAAGCACCCTGTTGGTTTCTCTTTTGAGGTCTGCGCAGTGAATTCAGCAGGAAAAGCACCCAGTAACTGGACCAGGTGTAGGACTGGGCCCGCCCCTCCAGAAGGACTCCAAGCCCCCAAGTTCCACAAGGTGACTTCTACCCAAGCAGTGGTGAACATCAGCACTCCTGGGAAACCCAACGGCATCATCAGTCTCTACAGGCTGCTCTCCAGCAGCACTGGGGGTGCACCGTTGGTGGTGAGCATTAGGCTTCGCGGAACTAAACAATCGGGACTGGTTAGTTTTTAAAATCCTCTACCCCAGTGCCCTTGCTTTTTTTTTTTTTTTCTTGATCTGCCTTATCGTTCTGTTTTCAAATGTCCTCTGGTGGAGAAAGTAGCACAGGGGTGACTGTGGGAAGGAAAATTGAGCAATTAGGAAAATGTACAGAAAATGTGTAAACACTCACAGAGAGGTAATGCTGAAGGTAGTGTTAGCCCTTCATCAATATGTAAGAAATCAAACATTTTTTAAGTAATGTAAATGTATATTGAGCACACAGCATAGCCTTGGCACCTGGTAAGGAGTCAGTAGAAGGTCGTTTAGTGAGGAGGTCGATGTTAGCAAGAAAATAGAAAGGATAGCACATATGCCCTCAGAGTCCGCCTTTTAGAATGCAAACGCCTCTGAGCACACCTTGAAAATTCCGTCTTTTCCTTTGGTGAATTACAGAAACTTCTAGTGCTTTGAAAGAGTTGGCATTGCAGCTCACTCAGCATAACTCCAGCTCCACTTTGGCTTGTGAACGTGTTTTGGGGGACAGCAGGGGGAATGTTTTTCCAGGGAAAGCATCTCCCACATTGTGTTGTAAGCCACGCCACTTGCTGCAAAGGATGCTAAGGATCCGGTCTCTGCATCATGGAAATGAGACAAAGGCTTTGTGGGATGCTCCCGGTGGTCTCTGTGACGCAGCTGCATCCCACTCACGTGTCACACGCGCAAAGGGACGTTATCATCGTGGGTCACACAAACCACATCGAGAGATCGGGCAGATCCAGGCTAAACTATAAATTATTTAAACCAATTTAGGGAACAATGTGAGCAAGTGTGGAGAAGTCCTCTGAGACCAGCCTGCCAAGTATTCAATCACAATCTCAACAGAGAAACTCGCATGCAAAGAAGCCCTATGTGGAATGTTCAAGGGATATTAGCATATAGTCTACAGGGCTTTGTATTAAATAAATATAGATGATGTAAATATAATCAACTCTTGATTATCTATGCTTACAAAATGATAATACTAATAAACAAAAGTAATTTATATTTGGAATGCCTTGCATATATATGTATATGTGTATATATGTATATATAACAAATAGCTCTTCTTGATTATCTGTGATTTCTGTCAGTGTGAAAGTTCATTTCACATTTTGAATGCTTTTGTTTTAGAATACATACTAAAACCACAGCAAAGTCAAAAGTTTGCTAAAAGTAAACCAGAGTTTGTAATCAAAAAAGGGTGGTTGAAAGACCTTATTATTTAGAATAAACAAGGACATCAGAGAAGTAGATAAACTTGATCGCTCTTAAATATCTACACTGAACTCTAATATGGGATGGAAGAAAATTTTTAAAACTTTTACTGTGAATTAGGTTGAGGTTTACATATCAGATCATCATTTTTGCGTTCAACTACTTAAACAACTTGTCAAAACTCCCAATGTCTTGCTGTGCTCCTCGTCCCTCTCCACCCCACCTTTTCTCTTGCCCATTTCCCTCTTATAGGATATTAGCTACCCTTCCCCCAAGACCAACCTGTCTACCTTCTCCTCCCCCGCCCAGGAACTATCGAAGTCTAGTTCTATGGGTATGTACATCGCTTTCTTGGTTTTTTCTGTTGTGTTCTGTTTTGAATAATAGTGATGTCATATAATACTCGTTCTTTTGTGATCGACTAACTTCACTCAGAGTAATGTCCTCCAAAGCCACCCATAGCATGAAGTGTTACAGTTTTATTATTATTCCTTACTAATATGTAGTATTGTATTGTGTGTACATATCAAAGTGTATTTATCCACTCTTCCACTGATGTACATTCAGATCGTGTCCATCTTCTCACTATTGTGAATAGTGCTGCAATGAACACGGGTGTGCATGTATATCTGCTGATGCTTTCTTTCTTATTTCTTGAAAGTGTGAACTAAATACAGGGTTTGCTGGACCCTATGTTATTTCTATGCCCACTTGTCCGAGGAAGCCCCTCAACAGTGGTTGGACTCTTTTGCAGTCCTATCAGCAAGGTGTGAGGGCTCCTATCTCTCCATACCCACTCCAGAATTTGTTATTTTCCAATTTTTTGAACTTTGTTATCAATGCTGGGCTCAGGTAGTATCTTATCATTTTTATTTGCATTTTATCATAACCTTATTGGCTTTCAGAATGTCTTTTTTGATAACTTGCCTGGGGTCTCTGCGTGTTTAATTGGATGATTCGTTTTTCTTGTTGAGATGTCAAAGTTTCCTAGTGCTTTTAGAGATTAGTCCCTTGTCTGTTACATTATTGCTCCGAGTTTTCCCAGTCTGTGGGTTCCCTTCACACTCTTTTGGTGAAGCCTTTGGATGAACTTAAGTGTCTTGTTTTCAGGAGATCCCAGCCATCTATTCTGTCTTCTGTTGTGTGTGTGTGTGTGTGTTTATGCTTAATAGTGTGTTTATGCCATGCTTGTCCCTATTTTTCATTGCTGCTCTTTATAGTTATAAGTTTTAATTCATCTTGAGCTCAGTTTTGTCTATGGAGTAATGTATTGTCACAATTTTTCTGTAAAGGAAAATCCAATTTTGCCAGCACCATTGTTGAGGAAATTCCACATTTAATATATTTCAGCCCTTTGTAAAAAAGTAAAACAGCAGTTGTCTCTAGGTGAATGGATTTATTTGTGCACTATCTACTCTACTCCATTGTGTCGGTAGTGTAGATCTCTATCACGGCACCAGTAGTGGGCTGCTTTGACTGCCATAGCAGTGTAGTACTTCTGAAGTCAGGAAATGAGAAGCTCCTACTTTGTTCTTTTTTAATAGTGCTTTCTTTTCCCTGAATCTCTTTCTTTTCTTTTTTTTCTTTTTTGAATCTCTTTCTTTTCATATAAAGTTGGTGATTCGTTTTTTTCCATCTCTTTAAAGGATAATGCTGGGAAATAAATCAAAATTCCATTATAGTTATAGATTACTTTGGGTAGTATTGACGTTTTCAAAATATAAAGCCTTCCTATCCATGACTATTTTTTTCCACTTGTGTAGATCTCTTCTGGTTTATTGTACTAGTGCTTTATCATTTTCTTTGTACAAGTCTTTTGTTTATTCTTAAGTGTTTCATCTTTTGGATGGCTACTGTAAGTGATTTCCTTTTCAGAGCTCTCGGTGTTATTATACAGGAATCTGATTGAGTTTTTGTATGTTGATCTTATTCCCTGTCACACTGCCAGATCTTTCAATTATTTTCTACAATTTTCTTGTCAAGTTTTTGAAGCCTTCTATACGTAGAATCTTATCATCTGCAAATAGAATTTTACCTCTTTCGCAATTTAAATGTCTCATTTCTGTTTGTGGCCTAATAAATCTAGGACTTCCAGTACAATATCAAATAAAAGTAATGAGAAAGGGCATCTTCGTCTGTTCCTGTTCACAGGGGGATTCTTTCTGTTTCCCGTGTTGAGTGAGATGTTGGCCCGTGGTTGTACTTATGTGCCATCTATTATGCTGGGGTATTTCCCTTCTACTCCTATGTTCTTTCTTTAAAAAAAAAAAAAAACATTTTATTGGGGGCTCATCCAGCTCTTATTACAATCCATACGTCCATACATTGTGTCAAGCACATTTGTACACTTGTTACCCCTCATCATTCTCAAAACATTTGCTTTCTACTTGGGCGCTTGGTATCAGCAACTCATTTTCCCCCTCCCTTACCCACCCTCCCTCTCTCATGAACCCTTGATAATTTGTACATTTTTGTTTCATGTCTTACACAGACCGATGTCTCCCTTCACCCACTTTTCTGTTGTCCATCCTCCTGGGAGGAGGTCATATGGAGATCATTGTGAATAGTTCCCCCTTTCTCTCCCTACCTTCCCCTTATCCTCCTGGTATCGCTACTCTGATGATTGATCCTGAGGGGTTTATCTGTCCTGTATTCCCTGTGTTTCCAGCTCTTATCTGTACCCGTGTACATGCTCTGGTCTTGCTAGATTTGTAAGGTAGAATTGGGGTTATGATAGTGGGGGGAGGAAGCATTAAAGAACTAGGAGAAAGTTTAAGTTTCATCAGTGCTATACTGGTGCTGACTGGCTTGTCTCTTCCTTGTTACCCTTCTGTAAGGGGATGTCCAATTGTCTACAGATGGGTTTAGGGTCTTCCCCTCATTCACATTGATATGATTTTTTGTTCTGGGTTAGTCCTATTTTCTTAAGTGTTTTTATAAGGAATGGTTGTTGAGTTTTGTCAAATGCCTTTTCCGCATCAATGGAAATGATCGTGTAGTTTTCACCTTTTATTTTATTTATATTGTGGATTACATTATTTTTCTAAAGTTGAAATATCCTTGCATACCTGGGATGAACCCAACTTGTTCATGATTTTTGTTGTTGTCACTTTTGCTTTTATCTTTTAATATCCGATGCGATTTTGTTAGCTAAGCTTTGGAGAATTTTATCCTCTCTGTTCATAAGGGATATTTGTCTATAATTTTCTTTTCTGATAAAGTCTTTGCCTGGTGTGGGCATCAGGTTTATGGTCACTTCATCAAAATGATTTTGGGAAGTTTCCATCATCTTCTGTATTCTGGAATAGTTTGAGTAGAGTTGGTGTCCACTCTCCAAATGTTTGATAGACTTCACTGGTCAAGTCATCTGGTCCTCTCTTTGGTTGATGTTGATGTTGGGAATTTTAAAATGACCTTATCTATTTCCTCTTTTGAGCTGGGTCTGTTCAGGTTTTCCATATCAGTTTGTGTTAGTTTAGTTAGGTAATATGTTTCTAGAAATGTGTGCATTTCTTCTAGATGTTCAATTCTTTTAGAGCACAACCCTTCATAATATTATTATCTTTTTTATCTCAGCTGGTTCTGTTGTTTCTTAGTCGTGATATTGGCATCTTCCTTCTTTCCCTTTGTTAGGTTTGCCAGTTTGTTATTTGGGTTCCTCCTCTAAAACAGCCAACTTCTTGTCTTAGTGAATCATTCTATTCTTTTAGTGTTTTCTGATTCATTTATTGCTGCTCTAATCTTTATGATCTCTTTTCTTTTGGTGACGTGGGATTTATTTTGCTGCTATTATTATAGCTGTTGGAAATGGTGGTGTGAAGGTGTTGATTTTGGCTATTTTTGAGGTGTCCACTTATTGACAGAAATTGACCTGTGAGTACTACTTTTGCTGTGATATATTATGTTTCTATTTCATTTATTTCGAGAATTTTCTTAAATTTCATGCTATTTCTTCAATTACCCAGTGTTTTTTTAAGAAGGGTGTTGTTTAATTTTCACGTATTTGATCTTCCCTTTGATTTTCCTATTGTCATTTCTAATTGTATAACATTGTGATCTGAGAAGATGGTTTGTAATATCTACATATTTTTAAGTTCATTTTGACCCAGATATTTCATGGAGGTAACCAATGGCAGAATATGAGTCTCGGTGAACATTGACTACCAACAGAGCTCAAATACAATTTTCTTAAAAAGAAGGCAACATTCTGAAGGCCATAGAATTTGGTCACCATTTTATATTCTACACGCTCTTCTAATATCGCTTAATGGTTTTATATTCTACACACTCTTCAAATATCGTTTGATGGTAATAGGCAACAGATTATTCCTTGTGATTTATCTTATATTATCGCCAACTTCTATTTTACTGTTGCATGAGTACTTTATTGTGTTTAAGTTTTAACTTTCTATCTAGATTAATAACTCCAGAGAGTAAATATTATGTTACATGCTATGTTGCATCTCCAAGAGTACCTACCGTAACATGCTATTAGCAGCAGGGTGGATGCTTGAGAAATAGTTTCTACTTCTCTGACTCTTCGTCCCCTGTTGCCTTCTTTCTCCTACAGCTAGCTGAAGGCACAGCCACCCAGCAGACACTCCATGGCCTGCAGCCCTTCACCACATACTCCATAGGGGTCGAGGCCTGCACCTGCTGCAACTGTTGCACCAAAGGACCAACAGCGGAATTGAGGACTCACCCTGCACCACCCTCAGGACTGCCCTCTCCCCGAATCCAGACACTGGCCTCGAGAATGGCTTCCTTCCAGTGGAGGCCTCCCCAGTCTCCTAACGGTGTCATTCAAAGGTAGGAAGCCAGCCAGAGGGGCATTGAAAGCAAAGCAACACACGTATATAGACATAGAGTTACACAACACGACACTGAAAGCATTTGCTTACAGAGTAGGTGCCTACGGAAAATAGACAAATAATTCGGTTTTAGTGGTAAGGTGACCTGAAAAGTGTTCAAATCACAAAATCAACTAATGGTAGGAAGGTAAACAGCAAAGTCATCTTTAAGTAAGACATTTTATATGTTTGTATTCATTGAAAGAATATTCGCCTTTTGGGAATTCCCTGAAACCATGGATGCAACAGAGGAGGACTGGAAGCAGCGCTTACATGTTGGGCTGCCAACTTAAGGGTCAACAGTTGGAAATCTCCATCCTATCTCCAAAGGATAAAGCCTGGGCTTTCTGCTCCCTAGAGGGTTACAGTCTTGGAAATGCACAGGAGCAGTTCGACTCTGCCCTCTAAGTTTGTTACAAGTCAGAAAGTATTCGGCAGCAGTTAATTTTTTGTTTAGGTTTAGTTTTAGTTTGTTGTTGGCAAGTTAGGTTTCCTTGAGTGGTACAAATGGCCTAGTGCCAGATATGAACACAAAGGCTGGTGGTTTGAGCCTGCCCAGAAGTGTATTAAAAGAAAAGGTCCCGGTGATTTGCTCTGGAAAGGTCACAGCCATAGAAGCCCGATGGAGTGCAGTTCTGCGCTAACACCCAGGTTTGCCCTGAGTCAAACTCGACTCCGGGAGTGGTGTTTTGTTTTGTTGGTTCTTAGATCAGAATTTCCTTGATCTAATTTAAACTATGAATCAACAAAGCAGGTATTTCTTCCCCTCCCCCACCCCAATAGTTCTATTGACATATAATTCACATATCATATAATTCAATTTTCAATCACATTAAGAAGTGTTGCACCATCATCACCACAATCAGCTTTAAAACATTTTCTTCATTCTTGTACATATTGTTATTAGCTCCCCATTTTCCTCCAACCTCCTCTGCCATATTCCCAAGGAATCATTAATCTAGTTACCATCTCGATAGATTTACCTATCCTGGGTTTCATATACAGAAAAACATTCAAACAAAGACTAACAAACATAACAAAGTCAAACTTTTTCTTTATTCCAAAAAACCAGACTCACTGCCATCAAGTCATACCAACTCATAGCGACCCTATGGGACAGGGTAGAACTGGGTCTGTACATTTCCGAGACGGTAACTCTTTACAGAAATAGAAAGCCTCGTCTTTCTCCTAGGTAACAGCTAAAAAGAGAGCATGCTATCACTCTGCTCTCAAAAAAGAGAAAATACCTCTGTCAATGGAATTATGGTGGCTAACCACAAGGTCAGCAATACACACTCCCCAGCCTGGTCCCATAAAGGTTTCCAGCCTTAGAAATCACAAGAGTAGTCCTATACTGCCCTATAGGCTCTCTAAGAGACAGAGTAAACTATCAATGACTTTTTAATTTTTAGTGAACAGCCATATATGGATACGTGGTGATTTCTCTTAATTTTTCTGGTAACATTATCTGCTCATTTCCAACAACACTGAAAGCAGTTTCTCACAAGGGAGATTTTAAAGAGCTTTCAATGAAGACAAATATATCTCATCTAGCCAGTTTTAAGGGGGAACGCTAAGCTGATCCTCATGTCTGCCTTCTCTTTACACGTCCCTTTTCCTCCTAGCTACGAGCTCCAACTCTACGTGCCTTGTCCTCCTGATGCAGCCGTGCCCTGTACTCCCAGCCAAACAGAGACCAGATTCAAGGGGCCTGGGCGGCAAGCCAACGTAGCAGGTCTCCAGCCTTATACCACCTACAGGCTGAGAGTGGTGGTGCACAACGAGGTGGGCAGTGCAGCTTCGGACTGGATCAGCTTCACCACCCACAGAGCACGTGAGTAAACAAGGCTAAGACACGAAGCCAAAAAGGGCTGAGAGCCCTCAGGAGAGGTGGATCACTAAACATAGAGGCAAACACTATTCTAGAAGGACTGTGTGAATGTTCCGTTGCACTGGATGCAATGTATACATCAATGAACGTGACTTCTGGAGAAAGATGCCCATTGAATTTCTCAACATGGAGTCAAGAGTAAATGAAGGAAGGTCTTTCATGAGCACTGGCAGAGGTTCAACACACCAACTCCGCCCACATACACACTTACAGCCCCCCGCCCCAGGTGCCTCAGAAGAAAGTAAGGCCTGACCATCTGCTTCCATGGAAAACCCTGTGGGGCACAACAAGGTCACTATGGGGTGACAATGAGTCAGAATTGACTATGTAGCAACTGGGAAGAAGGAAAATGGGCAAATAGATGTAGATCATGCTTTAGAGAAGTTAAGGCATCCCCTCCCCACCAATTGCATGGCATAATCTCTAGCACCCCCAGAAAGCATCGAGACAGGGCATGGTCAAGAAAAGCAAAGGTCAGTTGGAATGCAGAAAGAGGCAATTATCTAACTGATTCAGTGAATCTTCAGACTTGTATAAAGCAACTTTTCGTTTGTTTTTAAAAGAATATGTTCGTTATTTAAACTGAAGAATTTAAGAAGTATTAAAAATACATGTAATAATCCGAGCTGGCAGACTGCATAGGTCACATGCCCATGAACCTTGTCCTGTTTAAAATCCTACCACCCAGCACCAACCACTATATTTTGGCATAACCCCTTTCTGATGGCCTCTTTGATGCAGCTTTTTAATTACATTAACGTGTGTGTAGTTAAGTGTATGAGAGAGGGAAGCCATAGTTAGATAGACTAGTGTGACTCATTATGACATTAGCCACAATTAAAGTTGGAAAAACATAAACATGTACGAAGACATGCTGGCTCTTACTTTGCTATTTGGGAGAAATATTTTATTTTAAATGTAAGAGTCCTACCTGTTTTTAGACTTGAATCTTAAAAATTCCAAAGCATAACTAGACTCATATTTTTTCATAAACAGCAGATATATTTCTAAATAAAAAATATGTGGCCAATGTATTTTCACAGATCAATCACTCCATTCTTTTCTTAAAAGCCAGTTTTGTGTATAGATGGGCCTTGATGCTTTTATAAATGTATTGATTATTTTGGAGAAAACTAGATTGGATGAAATTAATTTCTTCTGATTTGTTTCAAAGATACAGTATCTGAGTTAGTTAATTGTGACAGCCTGGCCGATAATCACATGTGGGGCTGGTTGAAAGGCGGAGGGATAAATGGGTGGTGAAGCCTCGCCTTTCTAGTTCTCGGGTCTCTTGTTTCGTGATGGTTGCACC